TAAATTCATGGTTAATGAATGGTTATCTTAGGACATGAAAAGTTGCTCCCCTTATATATAATTGAAGAAAACGCACAAACGCCCATAAAAACTGCAAAACACAAAATGTAAAACCGCAAGTTTGCATGTATCTCCGCATGGACCCAACAAACCTTCATACAAAATTTGGTGAAGATCCATTACCAGGGGACGAAGTAGTGGTAGAAAACACAAAAACGCCAATAAAAACCGCAAAATGCAAAACTGTGAATTTGTATGTATCTCTCAATCTGGTGAAGTTCCATCCACACCCTGCGAAGTAGTTACATGAACATACAACAGACAGTACTATTATATTTATATAGGTTATTGCTGTATAAGGTATTGGTTTCATTGTGCCTTTTTAGATTCTAAAACCATAATGACAAATGGTCTAATGTCATTGATACCTAATTATATTAATCTATGCACTGCTTAAGTGATGTTACCCTTTCTTGTAACATGTTTAACGTTCTTATGCATACACTACACGGATCATTCATACTACACAAAGCAACTTTGCATAATTATGTGAAAATTGTTCAGAATATTAATTAGATTAATAACCGTTAACTGCTACTTGACAGAACGTGTTTTATAGTTTCAATCACGAAGACGTTAATAAAACTGATCCTAACTTCGTATAATGACACTTAAACCCTTCGGGTATTATACATTGTTGGTTATTTAGAGCGCCCGCTAGGTAAAAATCTAGTAACCTTTCTTCCCACGGTATAAGGCGCAAGAATCAAACATGAATGGCCTTTACGTGACATAAGCGCCATCTCGTGTCAGAAGAATCTAAACACAATCCCACGATCTGTATGTTTTTGATTTTCTCTCCCTCCATTATCTTCGAAGGTTGAAGAAATGAGAACCGTGAGAAAACTTCGCAGTCAATATTTGTCGAGTAGGCTAATTGTCAACAAATAATTCACTACAAGCTCACTGCTTGGAAGTCCTATCCTAACAACGCTTCCGGTGTGTCTGTATCTTATATTAGTTTTATTAGACGTTACTTAAGTAATATCCATATCATCATTTTCCAGCTGTATTGATATTAATTTTATAATGATTTATAATTACAAGTTATTTTGCGTATTCATTAAACTCGTGAATGATTTTGTGTAAATAAACAGTTAAGTACAAAAGTTTCATTTTACGATAAACCAGTCATTTTATTTCTATCCTTAGTGGATAAAAAGAGATTGATTAGGAACCGTATTGGTGTTGAAAAAATGAATTTGCTCTTTCAAATACGTAGTATATTTCTCGCTGTAGATGTTCCTTTAATTACTTTTATTGTTAGTTTCACGATTACACCGTTGGTTTTGAGATTGTTGTTCCAATCCTCAGGTGATCAGTAAATTTCTCGCTGTAGATGTTCCTTTAATTACTTTTATTGTTAGTTTCACGATTACACCGTTGGTTTTGAGATTGTTGTTCCAATCCTCAGGTGATCAGTAAATTTCTTGCTAAAGAATAAAATCAAATGTTGTTTACTTTTTTTCGTGTATAGTAATTTTAATAGTTTTATTTCAAAGGGCTGTCTACTTACGAGTAAGCAGCATTTCCTGCGAGAATAAACTTTCATATTATATTAGATACATTAGATAATTATCTTATAGCAAGATAAGTTTTAAAATATGTTAAACTTTTCACACCTTAGGTGGTTAATGGTTTACAATATGTAAAAGAGTTTAACAATTTTGACTGATAATGGTTGAAAATAAATCAAATGTTTAACAGATTTGAAACTAGATCAATTTTTGAAAGTTTGGACTTCAATCATTCAAACTAGATCAGGCTTTTAGCAGCTTTTGATGTTTATGTTTCAAACTAAATCAAGTTTTTAGTACTTTTTAAGTTTGAAACTAGATCTGGTTTTTAGTACTTTTTACGTTTGAAACTAGATCAGGTTTTTAATAGTTTTACTTTTGACGTTTGAGATTAGATCAGGTTTTTATCAGCTTTGATTACCAACATTTGAAACTGGATCAGGCTTCAACTATAGATATTTAAAATTAGAATAAAGTTTTAGCAGCTTAATTGATTACGATGTAGTATTAGTAGTAGCCAGTTGTTGAGTTTGTTCTTGGATTCTTTTCGGTAGTGTATGAAGCTGTTATTCAGAAACTCATTCTTTCATATAGGAGGAGGAAAAACATTAGTCAGTCGATTAGCCACACAGAGGTGGCTAGATGTGAGGCCAGAGTGGACCCAGGATTCTCACCGTACTGACCACACCGCCATGACATACTCGTACCGAGTCCTTTGTGAAGACAATTACTACGGCAAGGCCTGTGCTAAATTGTGTCGACCGAGGGACGATAAGTTTGGACACTACAGTTGTAGTTCAAATGGCGACAAAGTATGTCTGCCTGGTTGGTCAGGAGAGTACTGCACGAAAGGTAATCACGAAAAAGTCTTGTTTATAACATTGAAAAAAGCTGTGACACAAGTAGTTTCAAAATATGATCAAAGAGTCCATCAGGTTGCGAGCAGATAATGTGGACAAAACAGACGATTCTCTTTGTCTTCTTTATTTACTCATTCCTGAAGGGGGAGTTCATCCTTCAAAGTACTTCGGTCATTCCAGTGTTTGGAACGAAGGATAGTTGGTACTTGTACTACTCCTTCATTTGATTAAAGTTAGCGCCTATGTTGAAGATGACGTAACCTATAGAATTACATAGACGGAATAAAAAACAAAAACAAAAAACATGTACAATATTTTAAAGAGAAAATTCCTTAAACCAATCTTAATATGCACGAATACGTGTATGTAGTTTCTACATATGTGCGTGTACGCTAGGACTCCTCTCAGGCTAGATTCAAAGGTTTTGTAGTTCAAAAACGTTTAAAAACTAACAGAATTTGATTCCGTTATCTTAATTCTCAACCTCTCATACAGTTTAGTATTCCTAGTTAATGAGACAAGTTTTATGTTTGTAATACCATTAAGTTTTTGTTTATTCTTATAAACAAAAAACGAAGATTAAAACTAATAGCTTTTTCTAATCACTTACAGCAATCTCTCAGTAAATGTTCATGATATTCGTCTTATTAGCTTTGGTCAAAACAAGTTCAGTGTGGTCTGTTTTCATGGTTTGTTTCACTATATCAGTATTTATCAACTGGTACATCTACTGTATAAGAAACGTTAGAAAATACTTGTCTATCTTCCTGGTTTGTTTCACTATATCAGTATTTATCAACTGGTACATCTACTGTATAAGAAACGTTAGAAAATACTTGTCTATCTTCCTGGTTTGTTTCACTATATCAGTATTCATAAACTGGTACATCTACTGTATGAGAAACGTTAGAAAATACTTGTGTGTTTTCGTATAGAACAGCTCATTTCCACTGCCTTTTGAAGGTGTAGTTAGTAGCTAAACCTATTATCTGATGAACTGTTTCTGCTAGGACAACTGTAATAAATTTGAAGGTGTAGTTAGTAGCTAAACCTATTATCAGATGAACTATTTCTGCTAGGACAACTGTAATAAATCAGCTTTTTGTTTGTCTAATGAACTGTGTGTCGCCACGTTCATGCAGCGGACAAGAGGCTTGATCACTCTTTTCACTTGTAGAAAAGGCCCATAAAACCATTAGGTGCGTGTAGAGTCGGTTCTTAGTGTCTTGTAATGACTTTATGCCCCCAAGTGAAGATTCGAGGACTTACTCTAATGACCGTCTGAATTATCTTTTCAGCTATTTGCCTGCCAGGGTGCCATGAGCAAAACGGACATTGTGACCAGCCGAACGAGTGCAAGTAAGTATATGGTTTGATGTTGTCGAGTTCTTTTCCGTCACGGATAATTCATCAACCCCTTGGGAATGCACGAAAAGCGTCCCGCCCCTTAGCTACTACTGTGAGGTGTGCCAGAAACTGACTACCCGATCTTTGGTGTGCATGTGTAGGTGGAGCCACTAGTTAGTTTCAACAACCGGGTTATAGTGACTAAGTGTGTTATTACAAGTCATACGATATCCTTCTAGTATTGTGATTGATTACATATTTAAGAGGTTTTCGTGTGTGTGACACGTTCAGAAGTCCATGTTGAGCCTAGTAAATTACAAAAGTTTTTTTAAAATTATTTTAAGCATCGCACATCATATATTAGTATTATGGAGTGCCCAAAAACTAAGCAGTTTATAATCTAGACTTTCGCAAGCTCAAGGAAAAAGAATTGTAACTTTTCATTTTCAGATACTGACTGAAGTGGAAGGGTCCTTTGTGTAAGATTTTTGTTATTGTTTCATAGTTACTTATGAAACATTTTCTGTCATTGAATGTTGTATATTAGATTAATGGAAGTCTTGTAAAGGTATGAGAATAATAATAATATTTTTGTTTTATCAGATGCCGACTGGGTTGGGAGGGTCCGATGTGTGAGCAGTGCACGCGATACCCAAACTGTGTGTATGGGACTTGCACCCAGCCTTGGCAGTGTAACTGTGAAGAGGGCTGGGGTGGATTGCTGTGCAACCAAGGTAGGTTATCATCCAAATCTTGGCAGACATGGATTAAACTGTTTTTACGTCAAAACAGTCAAGTAAATGTTAAAATACATAGACTGTTTAAACTCTGTTCAATAAAATATGCCGATTAATGTTTTGGATGTAACAATGAAACAGAATAGTTTCGAACACTGAGTTACAAGTATCTTGAATAAGAATTAATAATGACAACCGTGGTTCGTTTTCGGAATCAAATCACGAGACTGTTCAGTGATCAATAGAAACAAGTTTCAGTTTTGTTTTGAACGAGATCATTTCACAAGTAACGATTCTGTTACTAACACATTGTTTTCTTTTTTACACAATAGTTATAATTGTGTGCATTGGTTAATGCTATTTTTTCACTCAGATTTAAACTACTGCACTAATCACAAGCCCTGTAAGAATGGAGGGACGTGCACCAATACTGGTCAAGGATCCTATACGTGCGCATGTCCAGAAGGGACCACGGGTTCTAACTGTGAAGTTCATGTGGACGGTTGTGTACGAAGACAATGTGACAACGGAGGAATATGCAAGGTAAAACATTTTTTTAAAGCTAAGAATGGATGTTAGACACTCATGTGATAACTGTCCCCAGGTCGGTCAGAGGTAAGTTACGGACTTATAACACTAAAATACGGGGTTCGATTCATTGTGGTGCAGATAGCCCAATGTGGCTTTGTACTAAAACAAACAAATGTGATAACTAGAATGAGCAATACGCTGAGTTTTACCCATTTCCTAGTTCCACGCATATGTGGAGTAAATATTAATATATGGCTGTTACGTGGCTATGCAAGCAAGAAAGAAGGTTATTAAAAGGAAGACAGCTACTGCTGTTGCCTCGTGTTTATATAAGTAATTAAAAGGAAGACACCTCCTGCAAAAGAATGCTATAGAGACTAGAACATGAAAACGTGATAAGATATTGACCTTCTGGGAAACAACAACAACAAAAGTCTGATTGTCAGTACAGTTTAATACCACTGTTGTGTTTGTTTTGTTGGAATACTGGTTTGGTTTTAATGAGGAAATTAAAGAAACCAATCAACTGAAATTTGTAGACAATAGTTGTTTATTCATGTTGATACTATATGGGAAAGACTGACTAGTTTGAAATACACGACAAGGTTTTAGATTGTGTCGAGGCTGTATAGGCAAAACTGACTAGTCTGAAATGCAAGACAGTGTCAGTTAGGGAGAGGTTGTATGGGAAAACTAACTAGTCTCAGGTTTCACGACAAGGTTTCAGTTCGTGTCGAGACTGTAAGGACTTCAATTAACTAGTCTGAGGCATAATACAACGTTTTTGTTCATTAAAAAATATCATCTAGTATGGTAGACAAGGCAAACTACATCCTCAAGATGGCCGGCCGGAAATCTAAACTTCTATAACAGTAGGTTATGGCAGACCAGGCAAACTACATCCTCAAGATGGCCGGCCGGAAATCTAAACTTCTATAACAGTAGGTTATGGCAGACCAGGCAAACTACATCTTCAAGATGGCCGGCCGGAAATCTAAACTTCTAATAACAGAAGGTTATGGCAGACCAGGCAAACTACATCCTCAGGATGGCCGGCCGGAAATCTAAACTTCTAATAACAGAAGGTTATGGCAGACCAGGCAAACTACATCCTCAGGATGGCCGGCCGGAAATCTAAACTTCTAATAACAG